TGTACAGGGTGAGCTGCTCTCTTCAGAGACCCAGGATAGGTTGCAAGCATCTTGGGATACAAACTGTTTCCATGTCTTCTAAACACAGGCTCTCTCACACTGAGACCATGTTTTGTCTGCTCTAGTCCACAAACCTGGGTTCTTGTTGCTTTAAGTGATAGTCCTCACTGTGGCCCTTGTGACGCTGTATTACTCCATGGAGGGGCAGGTGTGTGTAAGCTGGCGTGCGTGTGTGTTTGTGTGTGTGTGTGTGTGTGTGTGTGTGTGTTGGGCCACATCTGGTAGTGCTCAGGGCTTACCTCTGGCTCTGTGCTCAGGAATAACTCCGGGGGGGGGGGGGGCTCGGGGGACCATATACAATGCTGAGGACCAAACTGGGGTTGGCATGCAAGTGTTTTAACCCCTGTGCTATCTTTGCAGCCCTCTAAGTTGGCATTAGGGATGGATGGTGGTATGGAGTAGTCCGGGACTCAGGGATCACTCTTGGTGGTATTCAAGGTGCCAGGGATCGAGGATCGAACAGAAGTCAAGCAAGGCAAATGCCTTACTTCTCTGGCATCTTCTTACTCTGTTTTATAGACCAGGAGCCTAAGGTTCAGATAAGTACATTGTTACCCAAAGACACACAGCTAGTAAGCAAAGGCGCAACCAGAATAAAATCCAGCTCAGAGCCAAGGTTTTGCTGTTTTTTACAAAGTCCGCATTTCCCAATCCCAAGGATCCCCATACCCACAGCAGTCTGCGCCCACCCGAGAAGCCATCACAATGTGTGGTCTGCGTTTTGTTATTTGGAGACACACCCAGCAGTACTCAGGGGCTACTTATTCCTGACTCAATGCTTGGGGGACCATGTGGTGCTAGGGGTTAAGCATCCTGTATGCAAAAGGATGTATTCCAGCCTGATAAGCCATCTCTCTAATCCTATACTCCTTTATCTGGGGGGTGTGTGTGTGGGGGGGGGGAGGTCACACCTAGTGGTGTTAAGGGATTATTCCTGGTAGGGCTCAGGGTACTCACTCTCTCTCTTTCTCCGTCCTTAGTAGTTTATAAATAGCAAAATACTTTTGTGTTAACATTTTTAAAATAGAAGTTAACTTTTGTTTGTTTGGGGGCCACACCCAGCGGTACTCAGGGCTTTGTGCTCAGGGATCACTCCTGGTGTGGGAACCATATGTGGTGCCAGGGATCAAACCTGGGTTGGCCTTTTGCCAGAAAAACACACTATCAACTTACTACTGCTCCAGCCCCACAAGTTAACTCTCATGCCTGTGGCACCAGCCTGGCTCAGGTCCCTCTCTGAGAAGTGTGGGAAGCATTTCTTTACTGCTTGCTCCTGGGTCCCTGTGCCAGTGGGCAATCATGAGAAATTCCAGCCTGCCAATGGATTCAATCACACACTCTACCTTCCTGCTGTATCTTTTTGTTTTTTGGCTTTTTGGGTCACACTCAGTGATGCTCAGGGGTTACTTTTGGTTCTGCACTCAGGAATCACTCCTGGCAGTGCTCAGGAGACCATACGGGATACCAAGGATTGAACCCTGGTCAGCTGTATGGAAGACAAATGCCGGCCCCTTGCTGCTGTATCTTTAAACCTACAACCACCCCTGCCGGCCTTTCACCAGAAAAAAAAATTAAGTATATACAGAAAGTGCCAAGGAGAGAGATAATACAGAGGTTAAGGTGCTTGTCTTTCACGTGGCTGATCCGGGTTCAATCCCTGGCACTGCCTTGAGTAATCTCTGAGCACACTGGATGTGACCCAAAAAAAACAGAAAGAAAAAAAAAACAGCCAAACTTGAGAATGCCAGTGTGCCAGCTGCAGACATGCCATCTTCCAGAGCTTCCAAAGAAGGAGAACGCCTTTTCGCAGGTACAATAAATCTGATTGATTTTTATTACACATCTTAGTTTAGAATCACTTTTACATTCCTAGACAAAGAGATGATACAAATAAATATCAACTGTAAAACTCAGAGCCCCAAGTATTGGCAGATTCTTTGTCTCAAGGTAGCCAAAGAGAAGGTCAAGATCAGTAACAACTCTAAGGAGCCATCATGCCCACCCTCCCGCCTGCCCAGGGACCCCTTCTTCCATAAATAACCTTTAGAGCATTTCATTCCAGACACAGGGTGGGGAGGAAAGGTGGTAGTTTTCTGAACAGTACAAGACAAAACCTTGCGCTACAGACAATGCCAGGCCCGCTCGTCTTACCCAGTTCCCTCTGAGCACTTTGATTATGGCTTTGAGAGTATATTGATAGCCCCGTTTTCACTCACTGATGGTGTTCGGATGGCCCGAGGTAAGGTTCCCGGGGAGCCTGGCCCTTCTGGGGAATGGGAGGCGGAGCTGACGTCTCCCGTGTACACAGGGAATGGACACTTCTCAGGAACTTGGCAACGATTCTACATTCAGAGAGGGAGGACTTCCAGGAGTCACGCGAGGGGCGCATTTCTGAACCACGGGACTCTTGGGCATCTGGGCCACGCAGGCGGGTGGAGCCATTCAAGCAGCATGCGGGCATTCAAGTGGGAACAGTCCGATATGGGGTCAGAGTCTGCAGAAAGTGCTTCTGGCGTAGGGTGTGTGCCTTGGGTTCTGAGCCAAGGGACTGGGAGACACCGGCGAAATCGTGAGACCAGATACATGCCCACTGATGGAGGGCAGTCTCACACTCCTCCTCCCGGACCATCGGCTTAGATCCGTTAGACTTGCTTCCAGACGTCACAAGCTGTCGCTGGCCTAAAGGTTCTCAGGTAGCTTGGAAGATTCTAGCATCGCTCTAGACATAAAAGCCCGGTTCCCTCGTGGGCTTTGTCCATCCTCCACGTGCTTCAGAGCCCAAAGCAGCAGGTTGCTGGTGGCAGCAACACCGTCTACTATCTTCACCAAGTATCGATCGGATCCGTTTTAAGAGAACTAAAGCACCAGAGACTGGGGGCGGGGGGTGGGGAACAGCTCCCCAACCCCTGGATTTCTTTTCGTGGTTCTTAGACCACCACACAGCCCCTCTGGGCCGTGTTTTAAAAATCCTTCCTGACAACTTGGCTTCCTTCTTTTGCCTTCTAAGTTCTCTGGTCACTTACCCACCCTTGGTGAGAACAGACATCGGGATCGACTGCTCTCAGCTCACAGACTGGCTAGGTGATTACTGTCAGCCTGCAGAATTCAGACTCACTTTGGAGCATGAGAGAGAGAGGTGTGACAGGTTGAGAGCTGTCAGAGGCTGTCTCTCTCCCCCATTGTCTGGTCCCTATGCAAATAGGTCAGTTCTCTGCAAAAATCCTAGGAGAGATGGGATGAGGCTTCGTGAGGCTCTGCGAGTCACTGCAAAGGGCCCCGGGCTTAGAGGAAGATGACAAAGCATCCAGATGACAGAGCTCGGGTACAGATTGCTAAGACATTGCACTTGCTACCGCCACCTTCCCAGGGGTTCTGACCCAGACGTGTGCCCGGGGAAAGGAGCAGCGGAGTTCAACTGTAACTCAAGGCCGACCCCAGTTACTGCCTCCCGGGGCACCGTGCCAGCAAGGTTACCAGGGGAGGCAGAACTGGGGAGGCATCTTGTCCCTTCAAGCTTGGCTCCGGGACCCAGACGGCACACATGGGAGCATTTCCTGCCTGGATTAGTCATTCAATGGGCCCTTCACACAGACAAAAGCAACAACTGCATGTGAGTGTCACTGTAAAAGCGGGCAAGTTCTTGGTCTCTCTTTTACAGGCACACGAGGACACACTCAGGGAACACAGGTACCCTGTGGGCAACACATCCAGAGAGGGAGGACTTCTGAGCTTCTTGTGAGGGAGGAGTAACGGTCCACCTAACATGGTGCAACATGGTACGAAGCTCTGAATTTCAGGAATACAAAGAACTAAAACTTACAACCAAACTAGTAAATGTAAACGGGAACTCCTAACGCCCCGCTGGGCCTATTCAGTCACCCGGCTGCTCCCTGGGGCGGGGTTGCAGGTCAGGGTGGGGTGACTTTCCTGCTGAAGGCAGGCAGGGCACCTCGGCTTCCATCTCGCTGCCTTCCCGTCTCCCTGCCCTGCATCTCTCGTCTCTGGCTGCCTCTGCCTGGCGCCCTCACACTCTCTCTGCCTGTCCGAAACAAACTCCATCTTCCCCGGGGCCCCTGGACCTCTGTGGCCCTGCCTCCTGTTCCCTCGGGGAAGGCAGAGCCCCCCACAGGGGACACTCTGTGGCAGAGGCTGGGGCGAGGCAGGGACGCTCGGGGTAAGTGTGGGACAAGAAGGTGGCGAATGAAGTCTCGAGGACTTGGTGCGTGGACGTGGCATCAGCTCAGAGACTGAGGTCTTTTAACAGGAGGGGTGGTCATGGCTGTGAGGACTTAAAGAAGCTAGTTCCCGGAACGTTCCAAGGAGGTGAAGGGAATGTTATTTCTATTGCTTCTGACACTGCATCCCTGGGGAGCAAGGCGGGTACCTTCTTTGGAAAAAGACTGCCTCGCCGAGCTCCCGAAGGCAGAGCCACTGCTTCCTGAGGTGCCCAGAAGCCAGGTGACTGATTGTGCCCTTTGCAGACTGGGGTCCCAGCAAGGATGCTCACTTCTACCGACAAGAGCAGACACCCATTCAAATGCTGGGGCTTTTGCCTTCAGCCTCAATGTCATTTTATTTGAGGCTCCAAAGACTTGGTTCTGCTAGACTGACTCCTGATTCTGCCCTTTCGTTCAACAAGACGGGAGCCCAGTGTCAAGAGGAGGAGCGGGGAGAGGCGGGTGGGTGCGGGTGGGGGCAGCAAGGTCAGGGTCTTGCTCTCCGCATGGGCTCTCGCAGGTATCGTCCCCGTGCATTTCTGAGACGCTAAGTAAAGAGCATTTCCCCGAGGAGCCAGGTGCCGGGTGAGGACCGGCACACTCCCGCCAGATTCAGTGGGTCAGTCTGCAGAGGCCGTGGCGTCTCCCCAGGGGAACGGTGCTGAGTCCGGGCTCGCGTCCTCTCTGCGGGTCTTCGCTCCTCTTTTCTCTCGGAAGGCAGATGCTGTTTACACCCTGGGAGAGGAGGAGCTGGCTTTACTTTGGAACCAGCCCCCGAGACTGTGGATAAAGCTGAGATGCAGGGGTTCCTGAGGAAGAGGAGGATCCCGACTTCCTTCCACTCTTAGGCCTGCAGAAGTCAAGCAGAAGTTTCGGTTACACATCCATCTCCGGCTCCGACGCTTTCCCACTAAGGGTCCCTGGCGTTTCTTGTTATTGGAGGGGGTGGTGAGTGGCGAGGCTACACCCAACAGTGCGCAGGGCTAACTCCTGGCTCAGCACTCAGGAATCACTCCTGGCAGTGCACAGGGCACCATACGGGATGCGGGGATTGAACCCAGGTCGGCTGCATTCAAGGCAAGCTTTACCTGCTGTACTATCCATCTGGTCTTTAACTAGTGGTCCGAAAGTCTGTCCTTTTTTCACCTGGAAACTAAACTGGCCCAGCTGGACCCTCTGCAAAAGCTGCTATGACCTGCCAACTCTAAGGCCTCAAGCTTTGGGGGATAAGTTTTTGATGAGCTTCTGACTCGTAGGAAGTTTCTACATAAGAGAACTAAAATAACCTTTTGATCATCTTCCCCAAATTGGTAAAAAGTATTACGTATGCGGGCAAAATTTCTCTCATCTTTGTTGTTGTTTGGTTTTACTTTTGGTTTGGGGATACCTCCTGAGGAGTCTGAAGTACTGCTCTCAGCATGGTGCTCAGGGGTGCTCCTGGCAGTGCTCAGGAGACCAGGCCATGCTGGGGAGCCAACCCAGGGCTCCCACAGACAAGGCGCCTGCTCTGGAGCTTTGAGCTTAATCCTTGACCCCAGAAAGACAGGACTTCCAATTCAGTACCAAATAAACTCCCGGCCACTTCCCCAAATTCTCTAAGACTTTCTTTTCTCATCTATAAAATGAGATTTGGGTAATACTAGTTTTACAAGTATTTGCACGAAATCGTGTAGAAAAAAATTTTTTTAAGTACTTAGAACTGAGATATTACCTGCTGAGGACCAAAGACGTGTTCCCTAGCCTGCTTCTTGAGGTGAAAATGGGTCAATATGCCTTCAGGACCCGAGGCCTAATGCCTGAACCACTGATATTTGTGGAATAGAAGAATAGACCTAGACGCGATATGGGAGTATTTTCTGGTTTGCTCCACGATGAACACGCGTTACCCGTGTTACCCTTTACCTTGGTTTGACTTTGCTCAAACACAGGTCATCAGAGTCCACGCACCTGGCCTTCGGTTTCTTATTTGCGGTGCTTTCAAAGGATGAGGCGTCCACTTGTATCTCATCTTCATCTTGCAGGGCTGCATCTAAAGCCGCCTGGACTTTGGGGGCAATGGCAGGGCCCTCATAATCTCTGGTGGTCCGGCTGGGCATGTCCAACTCTAACAACACGATGTTTTCTGCCTGCAAAAGTACAACCATAAGCAGTCCGGCTGGCTCCGATCAGGAGAGGGCACCGGCAATCCCGACCTCCTTTAGGAACGAGGGGGGGGGGCGCCCATGTATGGGCTGCGACTCCGTGCTTGGAGCCAGTGCTGGGGCCGCCTGGACCTCGAGACTTCAGAGCTATCGTCCCAGTCCCTGCCTCTTATCACTTCTGTCCTGGCAGTACCACAGATGATTTTTGTTTTCATCTCTAGGTTATGTTCCTTTCGGAAAAACAGTGAGCAGAGAGGCCTTAATGGGAATCCTGGGGTTAAGCCCCATTCATCTGCAGACATTGTGCAAATACAAAGTACTTTATAAAGACGTGGGGACTTACAGCCTAGGGGATGTGGTGCTCGCCTTGCATGTGGCTGACCCAGATTCAATCCCCCGCATCCCATATGGTCCCCTAAGCCTGCCAGGAATGATCCCTGAGTGAAGAGCCAAGAGTAAGCCCTGAGCACTGCTGGGTGTGGCCCCCGAACAAACAGAAACACCCCAAGTAACCCCCTGAGAACCATCACTGCGCATTAACTGCCTTGAACCCACATATGTGACCAGTGAGCTTTAAAACCAGGGATGAGAGTCCAGTGGCAAGGCACTTGCCTGGCATGCTGCTGAGCAGCTTCTCTCCCTGTAACCACAAATGTCCGGAGCCATGTGTGGCTCCCTAATAAAATAAAACCATGCTTTTTGGTCCAAGACAGAAAGTTCTGGCAAAATAAGCATGCTCTGAAATTGCTAGAAAATATTTTTGACATACGTCCCACCACATAAAACCTCAACTAAAACATCTTTTTTTCTTTTTCTTTGCTTCGTAATTCCAATGTCGGGAACAACACCACCCAAGAAACTAACTTATTCTAATCTGTTTTGCCTAGGCCACCAAGAGAGATTTGCAAACATTTAAAAACTTTAATTTTAAATGAATAAAAATGCTGAATAAGAACTGAGTATTAAAAGTAAGTAAAGAGATATTCATGATAACCTTTCAATATTAATACTGCAAACCACAATGCCCAAAAGGGGGGGGGGATGTGGAGCAGAGAGAGACAGAGAGAGAGAGAGACAGACAGACAGAGAGAGGGACAGACAGAGAAGAAAAGCCCCTGCCATAGAGGTACACGGGGGAAGGGGGTGGGGGGTGATGGGAGGAAGATGGGGACACTGGTGGTGCTGGGAAATGTACACTGTGGAGGGATGGGTGTTGGAACACTGTATGACTGAAATCCAATTGTGACAGCTTTGTAAGGGTCTATCTCACAGTGATTCAATATAAATGTTAAAAAAAAAACCTTGCATTTATTTTATTGCAATGGGGTTCTTTCAAACAACATTCAGGGGGCTCTGGGACTTGGTCAGTTAGGTCAAACAGATCAATTCTATGGGCTACCCCAGCAATGCTCGTGGGCTACCAGTGCTATAGACATGGTGGAGGGTGGCTACCCAGTGCTGAGATTGAATTGAGGTGTTCAGATTCTGTGCTATGTCCCTACTTCTAAAATATTTTCATGATTATCAGAAAATTAGCTCAATAGGCTGCATGTAGGAGGCCCATGTTTGCTCCCCAGTACCACACTATTGCCAGAGCACAGCCTGGAGCAACAACTGAGCACCATGCCAGGAATGACCCCTGTATATCCTGGGTATGGTCCAAAGACAGAAAAAAGAAACACACATTTCAACGAAAATCTTCTATTCTGAACCTAATATAGGAGCGAACTGATAGCAGAGTGGACAGGGCACTTGCCTGCACACTGCTGACTCGGTCTCCCAGGTATCATGGCTCTGGCCCCCTGAACTCTGAGAGGAGAGGGCCGGGAGAGATCTCAAGGTGCTGAGCCCTGGCTCAAGTCAGAAGCCCAGGCTCAATCAACCCCCAGCCCTGCACTGGGTGGGACTCCAAAGCGAAACAACAAAATAAATGCCAGACTCGGCATCTCACCCTGTAGCGAGCTTCCGGGCGGATCATCATGGACATCCTGGCATGCTGGCTCAGCGGCCGCTTGTATCCCACTGCCGAGACCGGCCGCTTCATCATCTGCTGGTTCCTGGAAGGAGACAGCAGAGGTTAAGACTCTGGCCAGAGTGGGCTGGGGCAGCAGTCCCCAGAAGACACGGGGCTGAGCCTCCTGCGACAGAAGCTACCAGTGACTCTGGAGTGAGGGTGACCCGCCAGTGGGGCAGCAGCTGCTCAGGAGTTGTTTCTCATTCACGTGTGAACTTGTGAAGCTTCCAAGGTGGAACTGTCCAAGTCTTCCTCCAGTCTGCAGCTTACTCGGACTGCAGGCAAGAGGCCTATTGCTCCACACTACTCTGCCCTCTGTAGCCCTGGGAGACGGCTCCCACCCCCGGCAGGACTGGAGTTCTCCCGCATCAGACGGAAAAATCCCGTCTACGTGGGGTCAGTCTGACACCCACACTATCTCCCCGTTCTGTTCGGCATGTGTCACCTCACAGCTGGGGAAGCTGACACGCAGGAATCTGGGAGAGGTCTCCAGTTCACTGAGATTAAAGTCTGCCCACTCCTAGGACCACGCTCATCACCAAACATTTACTCGTGGGCTTGGGGCCAAGTGAGAAATGCAGTTGCTTTTAAGTTATACGAAACGGGGGTTCTCACATTTCCCCTCCGGCCATGTGAGGCTAAGCAATGTCCCTTGCCTTCTCCCCCCCTTAAGATCTAACTGAAATTAACAGAGACTTACTCCAGTCTGGTGATAGGATGTAACTTCCAATGATCTTCCTCTTCATCAAAAAAGGATCGATTCATAATTTTACTTTTTTCTTCAAGAGGAATAAAGTTTTCTATAATAAGATGCCTGTAAGAGCAGAGAGACATGGGTGAGTACAGATGGAGTTTGGGCTTTCTGGTTTCGCATGTACACAGTGATCCCATTAGGGCTGGTGAGATAGCACAGCTGATAGGGAGCTTGCCTTGCATGCCGCTGACCCAGGTTCGATTCCACAGAGCCCGGAGTAAGCCCTGAGCACCACTGTGTGTGGCCCAAAAAAAAAAAAAAAAAAAAAGAGTCAAGTCCCTCCACAAATAAATGACAGTTTAAGTGTTATGCTATGGGGCCGCCATAAGCAAAGCATCACAAATGACATCTGGTCCCTGCCTGAGATGATACAGCATTCCTTGGTTTGACAGGGGCAGGCAGGGGTCAGTCCTAAGAATGTGGAGCGGCCACTCCACTCCAGGGAGGAGCAGTGACGGGTGAGGAGGGCGGCAGCTGACATGCACTGACCAAGTATCTATCGGAGGCCTCAGGTGCTGCTACCCTGGCCCATCCCTTCCAGAAGCAGAGTTCTGATGACACCACCTTCCTCCAGCCCCAGGACTGCTGCTGAGCCTAGACACTCACAGTCTAACCCCAGGCCCAAGCACGAGACCGAAAGGCCTTCAGCCCGAGCTCTGAGAGTGACCAAGTGGGGACCGAGTGGGGACTGTCTCCTATCACCTCACTGCTTCCAGCTGACCAAACCTCCAACCTGGATAACACCCAATGGAAGAGGGGCACAGCAAATACCACAGGGGGCAGTGATGGAAAAAACAAGTAAGAGACATAAAGTAGAAAATGGCTTCCTTGGGCGGGGTGGAGGGAGAAAACAATGTAAAGGAATAAAATTTTCTCTTTATCTGACCTTTAAGAAATCTATTTCTCGGGGTGGGGGGGTGGGAGGGATGCTGGGAGCATTGGAGGTGGGGAATGGGTGGAGGGATGGGTACTCGATCATTGTATAACTGAAACCCAAGCACAAAAATTTGTAAGTCTACAACTGTACCTCATGGTGTTTCACCAATAAAAACTAAAAAAAAATCTTTTTCTCACAACACATATATGTTACATATAAGTTTTTGATTAGGAAGGTCCTATTTACACAATAGAAGATGTAAAAACGTAAATTATATACAATTTCAATATCCAGAGATTACTATGATCACTTGGCAATTATTTGGTTTCATCTTTTTTCCAAATACACAAATCTCTGACACATAGATTTAATTTTAAGGATTCCTTTTCAAAGGTAAAACTTGGCCACTACAGAAATCACTTTAAAATATTCTTTCAACAAACATTCAACTAGGAGCACACTCATTGTGTAGAGGACCTGGGATTGATCCCTGGCACCAGAAGGTCTCCAGAGCGCAACTGGGTGGGACAAAAAAAAAATGTTTAAGAAAAGTTCCACCCAATATTGTGGCAGGATTGATATAGAAAAAGACTATTTTGAAATCAGTAACAAAATAATGAATCTAAAGATCATTGTTGGTTAAAGCCATCAGCTCAGTGGTTCTCAAAGTCAGGCTAACTCTAATCTCACAGAGCTGTGAAAAGTTATCCCTTCAGGGCCTCAGGACAGACCACAGATTCTCAAAGCATGCCCATGGAACAGGAGGGGCAACAACTGGGCCTTGGTAAAGATGCAGATTCTCAGCCCCACCCCAGAGGCATTTAATTAGACTCTCTGGGTATGTCAACAATCATATTTAATAAGCCCTTCAAATAGTCATCCAGTGGCGAGGGCAAAGCATCTCTTAAACTCTAAGTATCAGTCTATTAAAAAGCTCCTCAGATGATTCAGTGTTCAGACAAGGCTGAGAATCAGTGCAACAGAGCTAGTTCTCAGAGAAAGGGAAATAAGGAAGACAGAGCTAAAAGTTAACAACACACAGAAGCAGCGGTCAACCAAATCTAAATCAAGCCTATTTCTAGAGATTTTCGGAGCTAGAGCTTTCAACAAGTCAACCATACAGAAATGTGTTAAAGGTGCCAGAGTGATCGTACTTCGGGTAGGGTGTTTGCCTTGCATGCAGCAGACCTGGGTTCGATCCCAGCATTCCATACGGTCCCCATAATGTTTCCAGGACTAATTCCTGCATGCAGAGCAAAGATTAACCCCTGAGCATTGCCGGCGGTGACCCTCCCCGCTTCCTCCTGCCCCCACCTCACCAAATAAAAATTGTTAAATATGGCCAGGGAAACCATACGTGGGCCAGGGGATGGAAATGGGATCAGCCACCTGGAAGGTAAATACCTTACTCACTATACGATCTCTCTGGCCCAGGGCTGCTGATTTTTGACTATCATGCAAAGGCCATGTGAGGCTTGTTTGTTTGTTTGTTTGTTTGTTTGTTTTGGAGCCACAACTGGCAGTGCTCAGGGCTGACTCCTGGCTCTGCACTCAAGGATCACTTCCAGTAGGCGCAGGGACCTCACTGGGTACTGGGGGTTGAACTGGGGTCAGCCTCATGCACTGCAAGTGCTTTGTCAGCTATACCATCTCTCCAGCCCCACAATGAAAGGCTTTCAAAAAATGGTGCTGGGACAACTGGACAACTACCTGCAAAAGAATGCATTAGAGCACTATCTCATACCACACAGAATGAACTCAGAATGAATCACAGACCTAAGTATAAGACCTGAAACTGTAAGACCTTAGCTGCAAGATAAGCTACAAGGATCTAAAAACAGGATCTGAGAGAGAATACAGGGGGTAGGTGCTTGCCTTGCACACACTCTACTGATTTCAACCCCCAGGACCATCAGGAGTAACCCCTGAGCACAGAGCCACAAGGACAACACCAATCGGTGTGGCCCCTCCCGAAATAAAAGGAAAAAGAAAACTAAAAACATGTCTATAAAAACATGTCTATGATAAAGTTTATGTACAAGTGTTCAAAGCAACATTTTCATAATATCTGAAAGTAGAAACAACTCAGATTCCCATCAATGGATGAAATGATAAATGTGTTACATCATATAAAGGAATAATATTTGGCCATAAAAAGGGATGATGTATCGATGTCATCATAACGTGCATGACCCCTGAAAACACTAAGTAAAAGAGGACAATAAGAAAAGTCGACATTACTCAATTTGTAAATTTAGGTGCACCATGCAGAGCAGAAAAATTTTAGATACAACAGCCTAAGTTCAAGCTACAAAATAAAACAGAGACACTGGGCTACATCAAAATTAAAATCCTTTGGGGCCAGAGCAATAGTACAGCTGGGAGGGCACCTGCCCTGCAGGTGGATGACCTGAGTTCTGTCCCCAACATCCCATATGGTCCCCTGGGCACTGCCAGGAGTGATTCCTCAGTGCAGAGCCAGGAGTAACCCCTGAGCATCACTGGGTGTGACCCCAAAAAACAAAAAAAAAAAGAAGCCCTGCAAAATTAAATCTTTTGTGTTGCAAACAAAAGATCAATCAAGAAAGCAAAAGGCAACCTACAAAATGAATATTTGCAAGTCACATATTTGATAGGGGGCTTGTTTCCAGAATATATGAAGACCTTTCAGAATTCAAAAATAAAATAAGGCCCCAAATAACCCAATTTTATAATGGACAAAGGACTACTCCCCAAAGATGGCACACAGTAAATAGCAGCATGTAAAAGACGCTCAACATGATTAGACATTAGAGAAATACAAATCAAGACCACCATACTGCTTTTACCTACTAGGACTCTAGAGCAAACAAGTGTCAACAAGGAACTGAAGAAACTGGTAGAGACGCAAAATGGTGTGCCATTTTGAAAAACAGCTTGATAGTTCCTCAGCAAGTTAAACACAGTTACCCAATGACCTGGCCTTTGGGTATATAGCCTAGGTATATGCCTAGAGATATAAAAACATGTTCATACAAAATCTTATCTCTTAGGGGCTGGCGTGATAGTAGAGACACTTGCCTTATATGTGGACTACATGGGTTCAAGCCCCAGCAACCCATATGGTCCCCTGAGGAACCAGGAATAATCCCTAAGTGCAGAGCCAGTGGTACCCCCTGAGCACTGCAGGGTGTGGCCCCCAAACCAAACCAAAATAAAAAACATGAACAATAAAAATGTGATTTTTTATAAAAGTATTATTCATTCTAATATGGGGCTGGAGATATAGTACAGCAGGCAGGGACCTTGCAAGTGGCTGACCCAGGCGTGATCCCTAGTTCTCCATATTGTTTCCCAAGCCCTGCCAGGAGTGTTCCCTGCACACAGAGCCAGGAGTAAGCCCTAAGCACCACAGTGTGTGGCCCCAAAATTAAAAAATATACTCATGACAGCCAGAGTGGACACAGTCCAGTCAAAATACCCATCAACTAACAAATGGATAAGTCAATTAATTGTATATATAAAATACCATAATATTTGATCAGTGAAAACAATGATGAAGTCAAGGAAATGACCCAAAACCCTGGTCTGGAGCCAGACAGTAAAGGCGTTAAGATATTTGCCCTGTAAATAGCCTACCCAGACTCAGTTGCCAGCACCACATAAGGTCCCCTGAGTCCTGCCAGGAGTGATCCCTGAGCGCAGAGTCAGGAGTCAGCCCTGAGTATCACTGGATGTGGCCCCAAAACAAAAAGCCCTGGGATTTGATTCCCAGAACCACACAGTTCTCTGAGCACTGCAATAAGTGAGTTTGAGCACTGCCAGGTGTGGCAAAAAAATGGAAAAGTTTTTGTAAAAGATAGATGACAAAAAGTTATTTATCACTGAATCTGGGTGATGGGTAGCTGAGTGTTCATTATACCTCTTAAAAAATTCTAAAAGGTAGAAAATTCTAAAACTTAGAAAAGTTAATAAAAGGTTCCCTCTTTCATCAAGAGATTAAAGATGAGACCAGAACTTTAAAAGCTTTAAGGGGCTGCAGGGATTAGTACAGCAGTTAGAGAGTGAGCCTTACACACAGCCAACCTGGGTTGGATCCCCAGCACCATATAGGGTTGGTTCCCCAAACCCCGCCAGGAGTGACCAGAGTACAGAGCGAGGGAGAAGCCCTGGGAACCACTGGGTAACGCCCTAAACCACACACACACACACACACACACACACACACACACACACACGCTTAAATAAAGAGCGTGGCAGGAGACTGAGGGGCGTCGGGGGATGCCATCCAGCGGGATGATGGGACCCAGAGAAGGAAAGTGATTTTATTGAGGCGACAGGCTGGGGAAGAATAACGGGCCTGCACTCCTGCTGTGCTCCTTAACCGGTGCCCGCACTTACTTGAGTTTCAACTCCCTAGTGAGCTCATTCTGTGTCTGCTCAAGCTCCTGCCGCTCCTTGATGTGCTCTTCTTGGAGGTCATGGATCTCTGCCTTGACAGCCTGAAGCTTGGAGAAGAGCTGGAGGCCCGGGGAGAGGCGGGTGAGCGGGGCTCCATCCCCCGGGTCTCGCACGCCTCTGCCCTGCCCTCTCCCTTTGTACCTTTTTGAGCTTTTTGGTCTTGATGTCCACCTCTTGCTGCAATGAGCTGTACGTCTCTTTAAGTTCCAAGGTTTCCTCATCTCGACTTTCCATTTGTTGCTGGATTTCTCTTTCTCGACGTTTCTGAAATTTAAAAAAAAGAACAAAACAAAATGCACCTTACGGCCTAGAGCCCATGTCTGCAGGAGAGCAAGGGGCGGGGTGCTCCAGACCAGCGCCTCCTGCCAGGGCGAGGTGACACTCGTTCTCCCCCCTTGTTAGAATCTAACACATCAGATTTGTTTTGTTAATTTTTTTTTCTTTTTGGGTCACACCCGGCGATGCTCAGGGGTTATTCCTGACGTTGCACTCAGGAATCACTCCTGGCGGTGCTCGGGGGACCATATCGGATGCTGAGAATCAAACCCGGGTCGGCCGCATGTAAGGCAAACGCCCTACCTGCTGTGCTATTGCTCTAGCCCCTGCTTTGTTCATTAATGTGCCTTACTCCACCCTATTCTCCCCACAAAGGCATGCCGAGTTACCTGCTCCGCAATCTCTTGCCGTTTCTGTTCCAGGATTTTCTGCTGCTCGTTTGTATGATCTACTATATTTTTTCCTCCAACAAGCAGCTTACTTTCCATAGCCTGAGTGAGAAAGAGGCAAAAGCTGTTTGGTGAATGGTCTCTCTGAGAACCTATCTCCTCAAAGGGAGGCCTCACAAAGGCACCTGCTGCGTGAGGGAGACCAGACAGGAAGCTGTTTCAAAGGCCTGGCTGGGAGTGGTGCTGGAGAGAAAGTGGACGGGGGCCCACAGATCCTGCTGAGGCAAGAGGCAGAGGTGTGGGAACTGGCGGGGCCCAGAGGGAGTGGGAGCCCAGGCAGCAAGGTGAACTGCTAGGAGTCTGACGATGGGGAAAAAGTAGGATCTGGGTGGCTACGGGCATCTCTGCGGAAATGTCCAGGAGACAGAGTGTGGATGTCAGAGACTGCCCTGGGTTTGGCTATTCAGAGGCTGAGAGACTGCACTATTTCGATAGTAGCAAAAGTCAGGGAGCGCCTTGACCTGAAAAACACGGAATCTTAACAGTCCACAGCCTTCACTTCTGAACATCAGGAACGTTCACGGTAGCCCTGCACTGTCCTTCGCGGTGCCCTTGGAGGCTGCTTCCTCTTCCCAAGGAGCTAGACTAGAATACCAGCCCTGCATGCCCCTTCTCGCTCTCAAATGGTTTGCTGTATCGTCTAACAGCACCAGAAGTTGGGAGAGAAAAGTACTTCTCCCTGCCACCCACAAATGACCCGAGAGTCCAGGACTTGCGGCGATGCTGAGTCTCGCCTCACAGAGGCCCCTGCTTGCTTAGAGGCCATGGACTCCTGGGCTCGGAGAACAAATGGAATTCCAAACCCCAGCAGACAAATAAAACAGGGGAACTGGGGACTTGCAAGTGCAGGAGTGGGTAGGAAGTGGCATCTGTCACCACGGAACCCCACAGAGAACCCCTCCCCGGAAGGCAGCAGCCCCTAACTGTGCTGTATGAGGCGACTCCATTTCACATCTGGTCTCCAAAGTCTCAGGCTTGCGAGGCTTAAGGCTGCTGCCTCAGAAGCACATTGGTACCTGGGTCAGAAGGGGGACGACGGAGCCAAAAAACAAATACAGCCTCACAGTGGGAAAAGCGGAAGGTGAGAAAGAGATCACTTATTCATTTTATTTATTTTTTTGCTTTTTGGGTCACACCCAGAGATACTCAGGGGTTACTCCTGGCTCTGCACTCAGGAATTACTCCTGGCCATGCTCAGGGGACCATATGGGATGCCAGGATCGAACTCTGGTCTGCCGCTGCAAGGCAAACGCCCCACTGGTCATTTTTTAAATTCATAAACCTGGGTACGATTTAAGAGTAGAAATCAAAGTCTGCATAAATTCAATGAGAAGGAATTCTGGCTTGTGGTCAAGCAGTGTCACCCCCTTGTGGCCTGTCCCTGGCTGGCTAGGCACTCTCCCTGGAGCCCTGTGTCAGGGCAGGATGGGATACTGATGGAACAGTACATCCTGCCACCAGGAACAAGACTGCCCCTGAGGCCAGCACCTCGCTCGGCAACACGCCTCAGCCACTGGCCTCCCTCAGGGGCTGGCAGCTGGGTTCCCTGGGAGCACCTAGTGTGATGAAACTGCTCTGCAGGGTGAGAGAGACAGTACAGCGGAACTTCCCTTGTACAAGGCCAACCTGTGCTCTACCCCCCATGACACACATGGTCCCCTGAGCCCCACCAGGAGTGATCCCTAAGCACAGAGATGGAGTAAGCCTTGAGCACTGCCGGGTGTGGCCCCAAACAAGAAACAAACTAAAAACAACCCAAAACTGTCCTGGCAATTGTAGAATCAGGTACTGTGAGTTAAAACGATTATGAGAGAGAATTTTATAGCTACCAGATGGGCGAAAGCTAGTCTGATGATCGCAAGTGTTGGGAAGATTGAGTCGCAACCAGAACTCATATCCTACTCGTCTCGAAGCTTTAAGTTATAGTTGTTTATAAAACAACTTACTATTATTAATAATAATGACTATTATTATTGTTTGGGATCACACCTACCTATGTTTAGCGGCAACTCCTGGCTCAGGGGCTGGATACTTGAGCACAGCTCAGGTAACCATGTGGAGCTTGGGAGCTAACCCGTGTCTCTGGCTACAAAGCCTGTGCTCTAGGCCTTTCAGCTCTCTCTGGCTCCAACGACTTGTCGTTTGGTAAACCCTCGGATCCAGCTGTGCCAGACCAGAAAAGCTTTGTCTTTGGTTTGGGGGCCACACCCAGCAGTATGCAGAGGCGATTACAGCTGGGCTCAGGAGTGACACCTGGAGGTGCTTGGGGGATCATACGTGGTGCAGGAGATCAACTAAGGTCAGCTGCATGCAAGACGAGGGCCTTCCCTCCTATACTGTCTCTTCCACCCTCACACCAGAAATTCTTGTACAAACGTGTTCTCCTGAGGCCAAGTACAAAAACGTTCACTCATAGCAAGAAAGAGAGACAATACCCATTCATCAGAAAAACGAGGTGCCGCAGAATTCTCAGCACAGTGATAATGAGTTGCAGCAACAAGCATCCATATGGATCGATTTCATGAACACAACATCGCGCAAATAGCAGCAGCAGATTATTAACAGTGGGATTCATTTACATAAAAGTTAAAAGTATGTGAAGGTAAAATCGTCTTTTACTCAGAGGTACACACACATGGCAAAAGGCGAAAGTCAAGCAAGACAATGAGAAGCATCTGATCCGAGACGAGGGCTAGTCTGCCACAGACGGCTGTGTCCTGCCCTGGAGCGGACTAGCCTTACTGCTGTCCTTTACCTTGTGCTCTCATCATCTTTTTTAAAAAAACAAAACAAAACAAAAAAAAACACCTCGAAGCCATTAATAAATTTTCAAATCGGACAAAGGTTTTTTCCCATTTTCTTTTCTTTTTTTCGTTTCTGGGCCACACCCAACTGTGCCCAGGGATCACTTCTGGCAGGGATCAGGGGACCATTATGTGGTTCCAGGGATAGAACCTGGATTGGCTGCATGCAAGGTAAGTATGCTACCAACTATCTCTCTGGCCTCAATTTTTTTTCTTTTTTTAAATTTTTTAATATTTATTAATGAAACACCATGAGGTACAGTTGTAGACTTACAAATGTTTGTGCTTGGGTTTCAATTATACAATGATCAAATACCCATCCCTCCACCAGTGCCCATTTTCCACCATCACGGGTCCCAGTATCCCTTCCACCCCCCCATGACTCCCATCCCACCTTGCCTCTGTGACAGGGCATTCCCTTTTGTTCTCTCTCTCCTTTTGGGTGTTGTGGTTTGCAAAAGAGGCATTAAGTGGCAATCATGTTTGGTCTATAGTCTACTTTCAGCATGCTTCTCCCATCCTGGGAGGATCCTCCCAGCACCCTTTATTTGGTGCTCCCTTCTCTATCTGAGCTCCCTTTTCCCCTAGCATGTGTGGCTGTCTGGCCCCACTTTCATTCAATGAATGTATTATTCATTGAAGGATCATGGAGCTGTTGGGAGAGCAAACTTCAAAGAACAATCATCTCTTTCTGTCTCTATCTCCCTCTCTCCTTTCTCACTGTCTCTCTCTCTCTCTCACTCACACTCTGTCTCTCTCTCTCTCTTCAAATCACAAAGCACAAAAAGGAAAAAGTGCCAAGGAAGAGATGCCGGTACCTTGATCTTGGCGCCGAGCATCTCAGCGGCATCCTTCTCCCGCCGCAGGTCCTCCATCTTCTTCTCCTTCTCCTTCAGCAACCGCATCTTCTCTTCTGCAGCCAACTTGTGGTCCTCCACAATGGCCCGCTTCTCAATCTCCAGTTTTTCCTGCTGTTCCCGCCAGTAATCATCCTTATCATCCCCGTCCTCCTCGCCCTCTTCACCCTCCTCCTCCTCCTCCTCCCCGCCCCCACCACTGCCACCGCCATCCCTCCGCCTCTCTCGTTTCTTCCTCCTGCCAATGGACCGTTTTTCCAGCTGGGCCTTGAGCCGAGCAATCTCTTCCTGGAATTCCCGCAGGAGGGCGTCCTTCGGGTCCTCGTTGACCCGGGGCTTGTTCTTAATGTTTTTGGCACGGTTGGCGTATCTCAAAGTGGTCAGAGTCTCCTCGACGTTGTAAGAGGCAGGCCCCACATTGGCCACCATCACAGTTTTGGCATTGCCCCCGAGAGAATCCTGGAGGAGCCGGGTGAGCTTTGAGTCCCGGTAGGGGATGTGAGTGCTCTTGCCATCCACCAGGGCCGAGATGACGTTGCCCAAAGCCGAAAGGGACAGATTGATCTTGGTGGCTTCCTTTAATCTCTCCCCTTGTGCGCCTGTCTTGGCTTGCCGTTCGCTGCCAGCAAGATCTACGAGGTTCAATTTCCCTACGCGGATGTGATTTTCACCGTCGAGACCGACCTCACTGCACTCGATGGTGATGACAAAAATGGCGTGAGACCGTGAGCTGTGCTCATTCATGTTGGTGGCACCAACGGAGCGGTTCTGGTTCCCCACATTCATCACGTGCTCGATCTCCTTCACACTCTTGGTGACAAAGGAAGACAGGTCTTTGACATAGACGCCGGTGTCGGGCCTCTCTTTGAGCTCGAGCCGTTTGGTCTGGTCCTTGGAGAGCAGGTCACGGATCTCCTCCTGGTAGATCTCTAAGTAGGAAGCCCGAACCAGGTACTGCTGATTCTGGGAGCGCGAGATGTGAGTGAAGATGTGGTCAAATGAGTTGGGGATCACTCCCCTCTTCTCAGGGTCGCCCCGGACTCCTTCCATGGTGTAGGTCTTCCCCGTCCCAGTTTGTCCATAGGCGAAAATCGTCCCATTGAAACCTTGTAGGACAGAGTCCACGAGTGGCCGGAATGTCTCATCGTAGAGTTCAAACTGCTTGGCATTCCAATCATAGACTGCGTCAAAAGTGAAGGTCTTGGGCATTTCATGAGCCACTCCCCGGGGGTTCTTCACAGACACTTGCCCCAGCTTCACGTCCACATCCACCACTTTGTCGTAGGAAGCAGCTTTTTCTTTGCCGTTCATGGGCCGACAGCGCACCACTACCCTGACCGACTCTGAGCTCTTTAATTTTGACATGATGAATTCCCAACTGGATCAGTCTGCAGGGTCCCGAGTCCACAGTGCGCCTGGATGCTACGGTCCTGGGAAGAGAACAAAAGTGAGTGAGAACAGGACAGCTGTCTGTGGGGGTTACTGAGTGGCCGCTGACACTATCAAGTCAAAGGTTAGAACACATGCTCTACAGGGGGAGCCCCGCCCCCCCCCCAAACACCACTGGGATCAAGCACTGCCCATGAGTAGCCCTGAACCAATCATCCCCAAAAATAAAACCACCAGTAAAAACTGGCTTGTACAAAATATATTCGGGGCCAGAGATGGAATAGATATTAAGGTACTTGCCTTGCACGTGGCTGACCCTGGTTCAGTCCCCAGCACCAAAATAGCTCTTTGAGCACCACCAGGAGGAATCCCTGGTACAAATGCCGGAGCAGCCCCTGAGACCACTGGTGTGGTCTAAGCACCCCCTCCACACACACAAAGACAAAATATTACAATATGTTTAACGGAATGATATTGTCTATTTTGGTTTTGGGGCCACACCCAGCAGTGATTGGGGCTTACTTCTGCCTCTGCACTGAGGGATCACTCCTGGTGGGACTCGGGGGACCGTATGTGTTGCGAGGGATCAAACCGAAGTCAGCCGCATGTAAGGCAAGCATCTTCCCCCTGTATCATTGCTCCAGCCCAGTATTCAATTTCTCTCTTTCTAAGTTGTTCATGCATAATACACACATATGCCTACCTCTCCCTTCTCACATCAGCCCTCAGTACGTGCAGCAAATGCAGTATGTCCTCGGTATATACAGTATGTACAGCATTACTCAGTACATGCAGCATTTACAAATGTATACTCAGTATATGCAGCATTAATCCTGTATGTGACTTTTCTAATCCTGTGACTTTTCTAAGCCATCTTGGAGTTTATTCCCTAAGGCAATGTAAATCTGCCCTACTCCTTCTGCTTTTATTACTGGTGTGGGGGCCACTTCTAGCGGCATTTAGGGGCTATGAGAGTCACCTGGTGACATCTGGGGTTCATTCAGGGACAGGGATCAAACCCAGAGCCTGGCTTTGCATGTGCCTGGTCCCTTGAGCCACATGCCTGTCTCCAGAACTGCAATATCATTTGGCAGCGGCCAGGCATCCTATACACGGGAGCACCATCATTTATAGGGCCGAGTGACGAGCACTCAAGTCGTCTCTGTGAAACTCTTGGAACCACATCCTTTCACAGACGAGTAGGTAGAGCGGTTAAGAATAAATTCCTAGAACTGAAATTGCTAGGTCACAGGACATACACGCGATTCTGATACTGAGAACCATGTTCTTTTTAACTGTGAAGGGCCACTCCTTGACAACAGACGGACGGGAGTGAGAAAGCAGGGCTGGGCTCGAGGTCTCTGTATGCAGATATTTGCTTAAAACTGACCATAGGGTCTGTGTGGTCCCCCACCAAACGTTTCCAACTGTTTCATTGCCAGGCACGTTTTGAAATGCAAAAAGTTATGTTTCATACTTCTAACATTACATGTCAAAATGTCTGCACAGAAAAAAAAAACAGAAGACCTCTTGTTCTCTCTGAACCCCTTTTCTATAAACTCTACAAAAGAGGGATAATTATTCTTCCTTTTGAACCACTGTGAGTCTGAAGCACTTCCAAAGCTGGAAGGACTTGGGGAACTGACATAAAGCTGGATTAAAATGACCAAGCCAGGGGCCTGAGTGAGTCAAAGGACTGGAGCAGATATTTTGCATGCAGCACTTTGAGGAATGCCCCCTGAGCAATAAGCTGGGAGTAGCCCTTGAGGACTACCAGGTATGGCCCAAAGAAATAAAATGAAATTTTAAAAAATAACCATATAAATCCATTCAAGACCACTGGAAATTACAGTGAGGAAGGACGCATTGTAAGTGAGTGAGGAAATTATAGTGAGGGCCAGAGAGAGAGGGTACAGCAGATAGGGTGCTTGCCTTGCACATGGCCGATCCAGGTTCAATTTCCGACACTCCCGAGCTTAGCCAGGAGTGATTCCTAAGCGCAGAGGCAGGTATAAGCCCTGAGTGTTGCCTAGTGTGACCCCCAAACAAACAAAAACATCACTAGGCTAACAATTTTTATTCAGGGTATAGCGATCCTACCAAAAGTAAATTACAGTGAGCTCCAAATACCCAATTAATATTCAATTGGAATAAATCTCAAGCCGTTTAAAAAAAAACCAGTCCTTCCATTCATTCGTCACCTTCTAGATGGTATTATAATCTTGTCAGATGGGAAGAACCAGATGTTGGTATGAGCACTCTATTGTCTCTGGTTTTCATTTCCAGGGCAACGGTCCCCAAGTCACACTTGGTGTGGCGAAGTCATTGCTTGGTTCTCCCTCCATTTCACTCGGGGCCTGCGAAACTGCTCAAGACGCATCGCTCACACTCCAGCCCCTGCACCTCCCACTGCAGTGCAGGACAGTGACACAAGTCCTTATCGAGACTTTCAGGAGCAAAAGAAACATAAGGTAGATGGAGGCAGGTGGACAGTGGAAAGAACTGAGTCTTCTGCATTTACACACTCCCCCCCCACCCCCCAAGGAAACATAGCAGCCTACTTTTCCCACCACACAATGTAGCACCAAGACTGTTTATGTACACAGACACACACACACACACACACACACACACACACCAGTAAGCTGACCTAGATGTTCAACTGTTTGTTACAGCCCATATATTTTCTGAGCACATCTCCAAAATGATTTTTTAAAAAAAGGGATATGATAATGACCTACAATAATCCCCAAAATCTTTTAAAAAGAAGGAATTCCCAAAGCATGAGTCCCCTTAATTAAATCTCCTCGACTGTGAGCACAGAATACCATTTCTTCTCTGAACTCACCAAGTTCAAGTTGAACTAGTTATGTATTATTGATGCATTATATCAGGAAGATGGACTAATTTAATTTCCTGCCACCAGGGCTTACAATCTTATTCTCAGTCCTCCTCAAAGAAAAGAGTTTTCTTGGAAGGCTGCCCTGATACTTTATTTTATTACCTTCCTTATTCTTCTGGCCAGACTAATTACAGTGATAAATCTTTAGAGGAATTCACAGCACTGCCAGGAAAGAAGGAACCACAAGTCAGCAACTCACCACCTTCATCCCAAATACCTTTTCTGCTAGAACTTGTCATTCTGATGCTAACGACCCCTGCTGAAATGGCCACTAGACTTGAAAACCCAGGATCTGCCCCTGCCTCAGCTCCTTTGTCTCCTGAGAAAGCGGATGCACAGTTTTCATGGCAGCCACACTCTTCCAGCCCAGCCTCCAAATAGTTCATGTTTGGACTCAGGCAAGTTGTCATGGAGCCTTTCTTCAAGTTCTAGAATTAGGTGCGGAATGAATTTGCAATAATCACTGGCCTATCCAGTTCGAAGTTAGAATTACAGGCTAGTCACATACCACCTATGGCATTTTAGATGCCTCCCATTATTGAAAACAAAACTCAGCGATTTTGCTTTGCACACGCACGAAGAAACATGAACAAGGATGCTTTCTGTAACGTTCCTAAAATAGCCCAACAAAAGTGGGGAAAACCCTACACATCCATTTAGATGGGGATTGAAAAATAAAATAAGGGGGTCGGAGAGATTGTTTAGCAGACAGGATGGTTGCCTTGCACATGTTTAACCCTGGTTTCATCCCTGGCTTCCGATATGGTCCTCGAGCCCCCCTATGAGTGATCCCTGAGCGCAGAGCCAGAAGTGAGCCCTGAGCACTGCTGGGTGTGGCCCAAAAATAACAAAATACAAACAGGGCCTCTTCAAATTACAGATAGTAAGAAACCTACTAGTGAACAGAAATAAGAGTGGAGGGCAACTAACTACAGCACTAACTAACCTATGGGCTCACACTTTGTTTGTGTAAATAAAGTTTTACTGAGACATAGCCCGACCCTCTTTACATATTATCTTTGGTTTATGTTAGCTATGAAATAGCAGAACTGAACAGTTGTAGTAGAGATAGTGTGACAGTATAGCCCTAGAAGCCTCATCTTTACTTACTCTACTTACTTTACTTCCTAATCTTTATTCAGCTTTTGTTTGGGGACCACATCCACCAGTGCTCAGGAAAACTTTAGGGGACCTTATGAGGTGACAATCTGAGCTGGGGCTGGCCGCGTGCAATTCAAAAGCCTTAACTCTTGAATGATCTCTCCAGTTCTAATCCCTGGTCTTCTACAGAAAAAGTTGCCAGGGCTGGAGAGACAGCCCAGTGGATAAGGCATTTGCCTTAAATGCTCTCGACCCGGGCTCCGTCTCAGGCACCCCCAGAAGTTATCCCTGACCAAAATGTCAGGAATAAGCTCTGAGCACTGACAGTGGCCCCAACTCCTCCCCCACTTCAGAAGAAGTTTGCCAGTCCTGAATTAGTTCCGTATATACAAATTGACATAAACAGGTTGAACGAAATACTGTAGCATGACAGTTATGACAATAAATACAAAACAATATGGTATATACAGCTTTGGATTTAAGTCTGTTTGAATAAAACTGGGACAGAATATATATCTGTGATACTGACGGTCATCAGTATCACACAGTATAAAGAAGGCAGGGGAGTGCAGCAAATGAGACTAAAAATGAGAGTACTACTTCGATTTTTCCTATTTGCTTTGGGTGACAACTGGCTGTGCTCAGGGGACTACAGTGCTGGGGATCAAACCTGGGAAGGCCGCCTGCATGGCAACTGCCCTAATCACTGGACTATCTCTCTGGCCCCAATATTTCATTTTTACCTGAAATATTTTATAATTTCTCTTTGAAACAAAAAGCTTGAAGCAAATAAGAGATTTTGACAACAACATCAATTCTGATTGTTTCTTACATCAGTTTCTGAAGGGTAATGTTTCCTAAGGGGCTGGGGAGACTGGTCAAGTGGGAGAGCACAGACCTAGCATGTGCAAAGGCCCTGAATTTGACCCCCACAAGGCCAAGTAGAGCCCCAGTGGCCTCTCAGCACCACTGGGTGTGGCCTCTAAAATATAAATATAAAATGTGCAATGGGGAGGGGATGGTGGTGGAGAGATAGTA